AAAAAACAAGTTTACGACTGCTTTTTCCTACTTTTATATACTCAGAAATTGAGTAAAATAAGATCCAGAAAGATATGGAAAAGGATTTTGGATTTGTTCATCTGTGCTGATGCATAACAAATACCATAAAGGAAATAGTGAATTAAGATGCAGATTATCAACTGCAGTGAAAAGAAGCTTTCTATGGTTTTAATTTGATGTTGTCTGTAACTGTTCAGGATGCTGCATTGTGATCATTGAGCCACTCTCATTTTTTTCTTTTTTCCCCTCTTTATTTTATGAACTCCATGTTATACTTGATATGTCTTCTGTTTCTGGTTTATCTATGGTGGCAGGAATCCTTCTGGTAGACAATTACATTTCAAGAATTTAGACTAGGAACTGGAAGAAAGGTATCAACTAACTGAAAAAACTGTACATTCGTGATAAAGAGTGGTAAGGAAAGAATATAGTGTTCTGCCCTGCTTCTAGGTGTGAACTCCGGCCAGCATTAGTTTCTCCTCAATGGATTAAAAAAGGGAGAGGAAAAACAAAGAGGAGAGAGAATAGCTGTTTTCTAGCACCCTTGCTTGGGGAAGTTGGTAGAGTTATGATTAAGGCAGGACATCTGCTCCCCATGAAAGTGGGACCTGTTTGAATAACCTTAATTCCTCTTCAGAAATTGCGAGGTTGTTTCCAATACTTTTTGCCCTACCACTCCCACCTTGGTCCTTGTGGTTTGGGGGGACATTGAATCTGCATGTATCAAGTTTTTAGGAGGATTTCAAAAGATACGGATGTTATCACTAATAGTTTAATGTGCGTGGGTCAACTGCAAAATTTGCAAAGGTTTTTTTTTTTCTGTCTTTGCTCAGTCCTTGGTAATCCTTCCATTTGAGCATCTCCTTAAGGTTCCTTCTCTGTTGTCTACTCTTGCTGCAAGATTCTTACTCTCATTCTCCTTCCAAATGAAATATGGATTTAATGTTACCTTCCTGTATGAAAGACATGAGATAAGGAGAACCCCATCCTGCTGCAGCTGTTATAGAGCTTAAAAAATTAAAGGGGCAAAAATATTTAGTATGTTTATGCTATGTAGTAAGAGCAAATGACAGTTTACAATGCTTCCTTGGAGACAGGAGAGGAAGAAATGGTGCAGCTAAAGTTTAGAACTGTAAATTTTCAACCTACTTTGCTTTATTTCTTCCTGATCTCATTTCTGAGACAAATGCTCTCTGCTTCTTATTTCCATTTTGTTTCTGACACATTGTTGGCTGTTAAGACAAAAGGCTGGATGGAATCTTGCAAGGTCTTTTCTCTCACATCAGAAAAAAGCCATTTCCAGGTAACCTGGTTACTTGATCTGCTTCATTGTAGTGAAGGTGACATCAGAGACTTTACGACCTGCAACAGTAGACTCTGATTGCAGAACTCTGATATTTTGTCCCCCACTACCTCTTTTTTTTCTGTGAACAACAAAACTGGAGGATCTGACAGAGCATTGAAATAGTGAATGCAAGGGAAGGGAGTGCAGGGAGGGGCAGGTAGACCCGATTTTTCTGCTTTGAGAAACAAAATTTTTTATTTAAATTTGAATGAAATTTTTTGTTTAGGGTTGCCTAATTCTTGCGCCAAAATGAAAGTCTAGAAAAAAGAAATAGATCAAGCTCATGTGCTGGAGAAGGTAGGTATTTGGGGAAGACCATCCCTTTATACTCTTGGTCAGTGCCCTTTTTCAGTAAATTCATCCATCTCTAACTCAGACTGCTGGGATTCTAAAGAAATCTACAGGCTTAGCAGTGTGTTTTGTTTAGGTTTTTCCTCTCATTTTTTTTTCACCTGGAAAAGCACTGAAGTTACAAGCTTACGGGAAATTGAGCTCATGAAAGAAACCACCTCCTGCCGTAGGCATCAAATGAAGGCATTAAATAAATGTGGACAGACCTATTCAAACAGGGGCTATAACACATTTCCATTGCTTCTGCAGTATAAAGCCAAGTTCTCCTTTTAAATATAAATTTAGTTATGAAAAACCTGGACACGGAGATGCAGAAGCTTTCTTATTTCACACTGAGTTAGTTTGTACCACCTGCTGCTATCTTGTCTAAAATTAATCAGTTAAGATAAATAACTTGGTATCCTCGGTTCCTTTTCTTGTTATAACAATATAATAGGAACATGCTTACAGGGTGATTTGTTTTGCTCAGTTCTAGGGAATATCTGGAGATGCCTCGTATTTGACTGTATCAGCAAAACAGAATCTTAATTTCGAGAATGGTGTGTATAATTTTATTAGTGTGTGCATGTATTTCATGCATTTCTGAACATTTTGAAAAGTAAAAAATGCATGCAGGAAATACAGTAATTTTTTTTTTTCCTTTTTCTGTAGCTTTTTTGAAGATTTATCAAGTTCTCTAGAATTTTTTAAGCTACTTTCTGTGAAGAAATTGGCTCTTTCTTAGAGATGCATGAGAAAAAGATCACCGCCATCTCTCTGAATAATGCAACCTCCATTTTGACTTTATTGAGCAGAGTGGATCACTATTCTCTGATCAGCAGAAATTTGTAGATTTTTCTCTCGGGGAAAATCGATGTTTTTTATATATTGTTCATTTTGATAATAAACTCTTACATTATTATTAATATATTATTAAAATTGATATCTACCATTAGGAGAGAACAGGGGCAATTTTGTGTAAGATACGAAGGTGATAACAAAATGTAATTTGACTAGTAGCAGCTTTAAAACTAGCATACTAATGTGTGGCTTGAAATAGCAAATTCTTTCATCTCAACAGCTAGTCAAATGGAAACCTGCCTTTCAGAGCCCTATTACCTCTGAGATAAAGAATACTTACATGAATATTAATACTCTATTACCACAACCTTTAACAGTATTAAAACTTGAAGGGTTTTATAAAAAGTGAAGGAAATAGCTACATAACTGTAATATTTAAGCTTGAAATGTATTTAGAAGTCTCTAGTATAGCAGTAAAGATACTATCTTTTAATGTCCCCATTGGCGAATATTTTTGTTTAGAGAGTCAAGTGTAAAGTAATAAAGAAACACCCACAACACATAGTTACTTTTGGCCTCAAGATGCTTGCTTAATATGAATTTGCTTATAGATAGTTGAAGGCTCCTGTGTCTAAGCTTCTTACTAAGACAACTGTCAAGTTTGTTTCCTTTGGCTCAATAGTGTCCATCTCTTTTGCCAGAAGGGCTTCTCTCCTGTATATTTGGGCATTCATTAGTTTCCTTATTTTTTTCTTTTTTTTTTTTTTTTTCTTTTTTTTCCTACTTTTTGTCCTTGGGAATGACTTGGTTAAACTTTATTTCTGACTACTTATGAATGTGCTTTGGAAACGTAGAGGCAATGTGTTGCTGCTGCTTTGTGATCTAAACTAGTTTCCAATTGGCTTCAAGTGCAGTTTGAAGCGTCATGCACGTTAACTGCATCAAGCCTGAACCGAATTACCTTCCCCTTGACTTTTCTTTTGGGCAGGGGTGGGGGCGGCAGCTGTTGAGTTCTTTTTGGATTCCTGACATAATAGCCTCCTGACTCTAATGGCAGGCATTGATGGCAATCAATTTTAATGGAGAGGGCCCTATGTTTTAAAGTTATAAATGCGATTGTAACCAAGCTGCTAACCTTCAGGCCAGACAAACAGACCATCAGTTTAAAACTAATTGTTTGAAGACGGTTATAAAGAAATATCAGTGGCATCTAGTGGGATCTTAACTATTTTAAACTTTGTTTGTTGGACCCTGATGTGCTTATTTTTGTTGGCTCACTTCAATAAATTGGAAGAATTAATTATATTACATTTTCAAAGTGACGCAGCAAAATCCAGTGACACACAGCTAACAAAATTTGTTTATTCTAGTTAATAATTTTTCAAGAAATAGAAAATAATGTTAAGATTAAAGATGATTATCACATATCCTGTTGATAAAGTATTGTGATTTGCCTTTGATTTCACTGAAGGAAGAGCACACAGAATTGGTGAGATACTATGAGAGTTATGTCTGATTTTATGTTGATTGGTATGAATTCATGATTAAGAACCCAATCTTACTTAAAAAAAATTATGCTTCCTAGCATTATTAGTGGTTTCAACAGTTTCACTGACTTAGTTTCTAATTTTTTTTTTTACTCGGTGTCATGTTCACCATCCTATTCTTTGGTAAGCTTGCTCTTTCATTTCCCTCCATCCCTAACACTGGTTCACCATGGACTGAGATAAGGGAATTGTGAAAATACATCCTTAACTTTAAACGTAACAGATTTGACTATAAACTAAAACTGAAATACTAAAGCTGTGACTTCCCATCTAAAGTCAATGTCTGCTTCTGGTACTGTCAACTGTAAGCCTACTGGTTGCTTCTTTGCTGAAAAGTTATGAATGATAATGAGGGTGGAAGAGTTATATACAGTCTAAGAGTATAGATATTTTAAGTGAGCCTCTTTTACGGCAAGAATGACTCTTAATGTAAAAAGGAACAACTAGAAGCATGCACTCTTTCTTGGTTTAAAAAGATTTTCTGTATAAAACTTGTCATATTGATAAGCATCACTGAATAGTAGGGGGGTGGTAGCTATCCGTTTAGCTAAACAAGGGGAATACTATTCTGAAATTTGAGCTTCTGGGTCAGCCAAGGAGCCCAATAGAAAAAGAACTGAAGTTACTCATGAAATAATTTTGGCCGATAACATTAGAAGTACCTTATAGTAAAATAAATGCATGTCAGTGAGCACAGCTACATTTTTATCAAGGAGAAGGAAACTATTGGTATATCTATCTCTTTAGAGTAGTGCTTTTGAAGATCTTTATCTGCAGAGCACTAAGTTTTAGCTTACTGGTTTTACTTGTGAGCTAAGAATTTGTAAAGAAGTATTTGTTTAACCCCATTAAGTTTAATTTAGAAACTCTTGTAGATTATTACTGCAAATAATGTAAGAATCAGTAAAAGTAGTAATGCTATGTAACAAAAATATTTTTATTGTTGCTTTTTTTTTAGTGTAAGGTTTGACAATGACAACTGAAGTTGGCTCAGAGACTGAAGTAAAGAAAGATTCTGAGCAGCTGGGACCAGACAAAGCCAATGACAACCCTGAAGAAGCATCAGAGACTCCAGAAAATCAAAAGTCCGGGGAAGCATCCTCTGAAGAAGCTCAAGATTCTTCCTCTGTCCCAGCACCAACTAGCCAAAGTAGTCCAAGTAGCCAGAAGAAGGAAAAAGCTTCACCTGAAAGCAAGGGTATTTCTCGTTTCCTTCCCCCCTGGCTTAAGAAACAAAAATCATACACCTTGACAGAGCCCAAAGATGAGGCCAAGAAAAGGACCACAGGGAAAGAACAAGTAATTGAAGAAAGTGAATGCCAGACAGCAGAGGGGGTGGCTCAGCCAAAAAAGAGCTTAGAAGAAGCAGCAGCTGAAAATCAGCATAATGTTAAAGCAGACGACAAGGAAGAAAAACACTCTGTTAGTAGTGCTGAAACACAGGTATGTGTGGGAAGGCTAGTGGATGGTTTGGAGTAATTTTAATGAGACCTGATTCATGATTTATATAATTCATGTAAGGCTTTGTTAGGATCATATTGGGGAAAAAATGACAGCTGCTATCTGGCCTATTGTGCCGTTGGGTGATACAGTTACAAGTAGCAGAGCTGGTTTTAGAAGTTCCTGCTCTGTGGCAGACCCTTTTTTTTTTTTTCTTTTTACTCCATCATTCTGGATGTCTTAATTTTAGCGTAACCTCACACTTTGGCATAGTTCAAAGGAATGTTGAACTGTATCATTGTGGTAGAAATGAGCAGGGGTAAGAGAAGAAGCTTCTTAAGTCAGCTTTGTCTCTAAAGCCATTGGATCGCATGAATACCTCCTTAGTGACTTAACTACAACAAATAACAAATGGATTATCTCCAAGTCCTTATAATCTCAATTTTTGTTATCCTTTACCTAGAAACCATGATTGTGGTCGCTGTCCTTATTGATTTATTCTGGAAGGTTGGTGCTGCGTTACAAGCCAGACACAACCTTCTGCAATGCTCAAGAATCTTGCTTTTTGAAAAGTTGCATGCCAGTTCTTAACACTCAAACCTCACATTCTGGGGTGGTGAAGATGATTAAGGGCATAGAGATTCTTTCATAAGAGGAGGGGCTCAGAAAGCTGGTACTGTTCAGCCTAGAGAAGAGAAGGGTCAAGGGGAATCTTGACAATGTGTGTAAATACTTAAAGAGAGGGGAGTGAAATGGAGCCAGCCTCTTCTCAGTAGTATGCAATTAAACAACAAAAGGCGATGGGCAGAAATTTAAAAAATGAAATTCCATCTCAAATTACAAAAAAAAATTTTTTTACTGTGATGGTGGGTCAAACACTGGAACATGTTGCCCAGAGAGGTTGTGGAGTCTCCACCTGTGAAGATAGCTCCACCCAGCTGGATATTGTCCTGGGCAAACTGTGCCAGGGGCACTGGATTGGTGATCTCAAGAGGTCCCTTCCAACCTCAACCATTCTGTGTTTCTGTGTAATTTGATTTTCATAAAAACTGTTTTTCAGTTTTATATAATTCCTGGACCTCTTGTTAAATTTGTTTCTGTTGGGGGAAAAAAGCTAATAAAAAATTTTAAAAATTATCTCATTTCAAGGAAGTAAAAAAGAAAAAAAAAAAGAAAAAAAGCGTACCTTCTGTGGTTTGAGGGCAAGAATATCTGGTCCCCAAAGGAGATCTTAATGCTTACACCGGTTATTGTGCTTCAAGTATGTGCATGACTTTAATGAAAGCTTAGTGTCGTATTTATTAGTAGCTTATAAAAGAAATGAACAAGTCAAAAATATCCACCTTCCTGAGTTTCAGTCATTGTTTAACTGTATTTTATATAGCCTGCCAAAGAAGATGGTAAAGGAACGGAAGTGGAGAAAGTTGCAGAGGAAAAGGAAGAAAAACAAGAAGAAAAAGAAAAGGAGACAAAAGAAGTGCAGACAGCTGAAATTAAAACAGAAAACATTCCTCAGAAGTCTCCTAGGAAAATTAAAACTGTGCAGTGTAAAGTGATGCTTCTGGATGGCACGGAATACAGCTGTGACCTAGAGGTAAGGCATCAAGCCTCTATATAAAGAGCTCTTTTTCTGTAGAGAAAAAGAAAATTTCCTTTCATTGCACTGAGAGTTTAATAAATACATTTTTGTGTATCTAGTGAGCTCATTACAATGTTTCATTCACATTGCTATCTTGCAGGGCCAGTTAATATTTCATTGTAAAACTCCATCTTTAAAACCTTACCAGTTTATCCTTAAGAAATGCACTCTGTGGTACACTAGCAAATAAGATAAAATGCAATATACAAATCCTTTCAATGGTGACCGTTTGACAGCTCAAACCTGTTTTTATTTGCAAAAGATTAAGATTTGCCTGAAGGTAGTGTCACATGTACTAATAAAGTTGTCTTGAATTCATTAATTTTTCTTTTTTTAAAGTTATCTCAGCTTGAGAACTAAGTTTAAAAAAAGTTTGCTTCAATGAAAAATTCTGCTACAGGTATAAAATACATACTTATATTTAAAGTTATTTTCTAGTTCCAAATATTCATGGCTGCATCAATTGCTTGTTTAAAACTAAATCACTAGGTTAGCTATTGGGTATATTTGTCTGTTAAATCTGACTTAAGATCACTAACAGAAATAGTGATTGTGAGCTAAATGGAAAATAGCTTCTTGGTTTTTATGGCTTTAATATCCTTTGAATGTGTGTATATATTATATATATTTTATATATATAAAATATATATTATGTATGTTATATATATTGTGTGTATATATATATATAATTTGTATATATATTGTGTGTGTGTGTATGCACACACATAGAGTCTGACCATAGTGTCCAAGTTCTAAGTCAAATAGTAGTTGTTTAATATTTTAGTTCAAGACTAAATTGTAAAACATGTAATTACATGAAAGGAGGGAAAAAGTTGCATTCCAAATCTTACTTCAGTGAAATAACCTTTGGTTTGATTTATTATGAGAATTTTTATATGAGTAAGGTAGTAAGTAGATCATACCAGCAGATTACTTTGGGCTATTACTGTCTCCTGAAAAATGCCAGTCACTTCAGTGCAAGGGCATGGGAGGCTGTTCTCTGTTAGAAAGCTCAATGGTAATCACAGTAGAAGATGCAGCACCGACTATTCTAAACTGCACGACTTCCTCAGGCACACTTCCTGAAGGGTTGGGAGTTGATTTAAACTAGAAACTCCCTATTTCATGCTGGATTGATGGATACCCCAGAAATAATCTCATTTATTTAATACTGGGATACGGTACCCCCTTAAAAAGACAACGTTCCTTGTAGAACAGTTTATATTGGGAAACCGTACTTCCAACCAGTCAGTTCTAAGACACATTAAAAGTTGCTTAGTTCTATTTTGTAATTCCAATAAACTTAGCAAACACTTGAAAACCATGTTCATAGTATCTGAAGACTTTAGCCTTGTATCTCAAAACAAAGCTGTAGGTGATATTTTTGAAAGTTCTTCCAGCTGCTGGCACCAAAGGCAGAGTCTAATAAAGAGGCCTGGTTCCCTTGCACAGCCGCATCCCATTCCTAAAAAAGCCCTCTGCTCTTCAGCAGTTGCTTTCACAGGAGAGGAGCTCTAAGCTGTTCTTGGGTTCAATTATTTGTAAACTTCTAGGATAAAGAGGAATCCAGTGAATGAAACAGCTGGTGAGGTCTGTTTGGCTTTCTGATGCTTCACTTCTACTTGTTCCCTCCAGTCATAGTCGTTTCTCTTTGTGAAATTTGTCTCACTGCTTTCTAGTCATATGAGATGGCTGTAAGGTGATGAGAAGTTTCAGTGGCCATATAAGCTGCTAGTTTAGAATATAATAATTTTAATTTATGGGTTCAGTAAACTAAAGATGTGACCAAGCAACAGGAGTTCTACACAGCGGTGCCTAATGCAGCACCCACAGCAAGCAGACTTTTAAGTGAGTATTAGAACCACAATGCGTTGGTAGTTATGTGGAAAATCAATGTTTGTTATAGGTGATAGGTTTCCTCACTAAAATCAACTCCTCCTTTACATTCCTGTCTTATGCTTTGCACTAGAGTATCCATTTGTTAGGAATGGGGGAAAAATAGTTGTTCTGGGCTACACTTGCAAATGTAGTTGTTATATTTTGCATGATGCTGTAACTGATTAGTTGTGGTGCCTAGACTGAGTATCTGGGTCAGGAAGAGTGGCCTTTTCTAAAACCAAACATCTAGATAAATATTTCGGATTTCTCTAAGGATGAAACCATGGCAATGTTATGGCATTTCCAAGATCCAGCTGATACCCTGAAAATATTCCCATTTTTGTCTAATGTAAATTGTTCAATTTTTGATGTAGTATACACATCACAAGTCACGCGATAGTGCAGGCTTCTACTTAACACCTTGTTGTCTTCTCTTGCCCCGTTTCATTTTCCAATGTCTGTCATTACCTACACTGTTTAATTGTGGATTTCATTAGGCTTCCTAGTAGTTTAATTGCTTGTTGTGTGCAGGTCCTTTTGTATACTGTAATATAATACTGGATGGACACTGCTCAGCTGTCCTTGGAGATCTTGCAAAAACTAATAGTTGGAGAAGACTAAAAAAAGCTACCTTTTTTAAGACTTTCTGAAGTTTTATCACATCTTAAGTCCTATTTCATGCATTAGTACAGCTTTCTTGAAACCCATTCTCTACTAAAACTCTTCCTATCAGTTAAGAAATTCTTACTTGTTGTTTATCAATATCAAATATTCCTTGGGAATGTTTTGCTGCAGTTTGCTGGAATTTTTAAAGTTTTTGTTTTAAAGTTGCTAGTAATACAAGCTTTCTGAAGCCTCCATTTGTTAAATAATTCCTATTCTTGATGTTGAAACCAAACAATTTCAGTATATGTTTCTTGAAGTACAATATTTTATCCCTACAGGGATCTCTCCCTGACAATGTCAAGTATAGACCACTTCACTGTAGATGAAGTCAACTATAAAAAGAAATAGTGATGCCTTTGTTAATGTTAGTTAAGCCTACTTACTTTTTATGTTGTTTACATAAGAATTTTTTTTATCATAATAACCAAAACACAAATATGAAAATAGACTACATAATAATTGCTGTCCAGAACACAATGCGTAGTAGGGCTGGGTATACTTATGGTCTAAAGTTGCAGGAATTTTGTCACCTAGAAGTTCTTGAAAAATATTTTTATTTATATAATCTTATCAATATATATGGAGAAATATATAGAGAAATCATATCTACAACAAAAATTTACTTAGATCATGCAGTAACCCTGGAGTCATTTTTTTATTTTTCACGTAAGCCAGGCTGTTTAAATCTGAATGGTACATCTGTATTGATTGAAGCCTATATGAATTTTATCTTCCTGGGCTTTTTGCCCATCCAAAAATGAGACTTAAATGAAGTTGTGGCTTACCACAGATTTCAAAAGATACCAATTTGCATTTACAACTGAAAAATGCTATTCTGCAGTATTTTAAGTCTATCATGATTCTGTTTTAAGTTGGTTGGCAAGAAATATGTTTTATGTAACAAATACGAGTTTGCTGTAAGAACAGAAGCAAAAATTAAGGAGGAGGACAAAGTAGAATAGAAACAATGTGTTTTATGTGTTTGTTTGAATCATTTATAGGACATGAGCAGTGCTAACTGCAATTTTATAAATGAATGCATGCTCTTAATTACATGTAGAGCTTTTTATTCTCTACTACTGTACCAAAATGTTAAGTATTAGAAAACTGCTTCAACTGGTAACTGAAATTTCAGTTTGTGCTCTCTGCAGTGAATCCTAGTAGATCAACTTCTGATACTGATCTTTTCTTTAGTCTTCCTTTAATATTTAGTGTTTGGGTAAATGTGGGTATATTTCTGCCTTGCAAAGTAACAGAAATGATACAAGATTTAAAAAACAAACAAAAACTCTGTAGTCTAAACACAAAGTGCAAAGCCCAGTTTACCTTGATTGACCTTTTAGTAAATCGAGTTTTAGTTTGGAGCAATTTCCATGGTTGAGACATTCCTGATGCCTCTTCCAGTTTTTACTATGCACTGTAGACCAACTTCATTATATTTTATTTACATTAGAGACACTTCTTTAAATATATATGCTTGCTAATAAGGAACTAAAACTGAAAAATACCTTGTTTTCATTACTGTTATTTTACAGATAGCTTTTGGTAGAATCCTGTCTTTTTCTAATTGCCATCTTAAACCTTCATGATAAATCAGTAATAAAACTGGAGCTAATACAGTATTTCTTGTGGTCTTTTTTGTTTGACTGTGCAATCACATTCCTCTTTTCTTGTAGAACTGCATCAATTTGTATTCACATACCTTAAAAGGAGTGTGAAAGAAAACAAAATATGACCCAGCAACTTATTCTCTGTTAAATTTTGTCATTGTTAATTCTTACTGCATGTGTCTTATATAAGACAATAGCTGGGAAAGGACATGAGAGGAGATAAAGCCATGGTGCAGTAGCTTCAGTGTCAACATACAGATCAATGCTGCAGTTCGTATAAGCTGATAGGATTCTCATCAGTAGTTAAATACTGAAACTTTTGTGGCCAATTAGTAGATACAGTACTATACAATTAATTTGTAACGGTGTAATTGTAATGATTAAGAGGACATTATATTTGAATTCAGATATTATATAACTTAGATTCACTAGAATCTTGTTAATCTTGATGTGGATAGTAATGCCTTGTTTCTTAAAAAAAAAAAAAAAGTACTGATGCACTATTCTTAGTCCATAAGCTGTTTTAGTCAGAAAACCTCTACTTTTCCAGCTTGATCATCTTATCTGTAAATGGTTAATGGCAAAGGCCTGAAGATGCAATTTGGAAATTAATGGAAAAAGGGAGAGTCAGGTAAGGGAACATTTAAACTAGAGATACAAGTCTCATGGGACCTTATGGGATGCCCCCACAAGTGCTGAGTGAGCTGGCTGGTGTTACTGCAAGGCCATTCTTGATCATCTTTGAAAGGTCCCAGCAGTCAGGTGAGGTTCCTGGGATTTGAAGGGAGAGGAAGCAAATGT